CTCTGTTGCCTTAATCTTTAGGTCAGAGTCCATATATGAAAATATTGATCACTGGAGAAACTTGTGTCCAGAATACAATGCATGGTTATTTAACTTGGCCTACACTTGCCTAGTCTCTTTTCCTCCCATCAAAGCTAAAGACATCAATCAGACCCTGTCAATGGAACCACCAGACCATGAAAAATGTAAAAAGAAATGAAAGAGAAGATTCTGGAAGGTCTGCCTCATCCCAGAAAGATGAGAATATACCTTCCTTGTGACCCCATTTCCGTTCACCATTACTCCTGTCCCATATCTGGAACCCCACTCTCCTGGGTTAAGAAGCTGTTTGTGAGCACAGTCTCCCTTCTTCGTCATTATGTGGCCACCGAATAAAGACTTCCTTCCTCCCCACCATTCAGATGTTGGTTCTTCTGTGGGATGAAGGCCCAGATCCGGATGCAGGAACAGATCATCATATAACTAACCTCCAAATGTCCTCTCTGCCCTATTTCTGCCCATCAGGACCCACTCCTCATGACTAGAGTTAAATTTACTAGTGTCCAAATAAAGAATCTTCTCAGAACATATAATGTAATAAATATAGTTGTACTTTTATGGCATTTTAAGGTAAACAGAATAAGATATGAGTTTATAGCTTGGCCTAAAAATAAATGTTTTAATTAAATTCACATAATAATCACAGAGATATTACACTTGAGGATGCTGTAGACAGAATACACCCCTCAAAAGCCACATGTTAAATTCTAACCCCCAGAGTGACATCACTGGGAGGTAGGGCTTTAGGATGTGTTTATGGCATGAAGGGAGAGGCTCCATGAGTGGAGTTAGAGCCCTTGGTTTTTTTTTAATATTTTATTAGTAGTGTTAGTGTTATCATTATTAACTTATGTGTTTGGGAGTTTGTTCTTGTGAGTGCAGTACTTACAGAGGACAAAAGAGGGAGCCAGATACCCTGGAGCTGAGATACCCAGCGTGGGTGCTGGGAATTAAACTTGGGTCCTCTGGAAGATCCATATACACTCAACTGCTGAGCCATTTCTCCATCCCCCAACCCCAGTGCCCTTATTTTTTAAAGGCCTCAAAAAAATCTTGTTTTTCTGCTATGCAAAGACAGAACAAATAAATTCATCCATGAACCAGGAAATGGGCCCCAACCACTCTACCAAATCTATGGACAACCTTGAGCATGAAGTTCCTAGACTCTATACTGTGAGAAATGAACATTTAATATAGACAAGTCACTCATGTTACAATATTTGCTAAAGCATCCCTGACACAGCTAATCTTGACTAACCCCTGAATGTGAGTCAGGATCCCCAGGAGATACACTCCTGTGTGTCTCTGAGGATGTTGCCAGAGACGTTCAACTGAGGAGAGATGATGATGGGAGGCCCCATTTCGTGGGATGGGCTCTTATGCTGAATAAGGAGAAGAAAGTGATAGGAACTCCAGCATTTATTTACCTCTCTCTCTGCTTCCCGACTATGGATGCAGCACAACCTCTGCCTAGCATTCCTGCCACCATGTCTTCCCTGCCAGGGTAGTCAGCAACCCTCACACTACGAGATAAAACCAACCCTTCCTGCCTTGAGCTGCTTCTGTTGGATGCTCTGCCACAGCAACGGGACAAGTAACTGATGTAACCCCACACAGACGGAAGCAGAGACCCAGTTCTGGGAGGTGGAGTGCCACCAGAACAAATGCCTAGAAACGTGGAAGCCACTTTGGCATTAGGTAATTATAAGGACTTGTTCCAGAAAAGCCACTATTCCTAAGAACAGACCTTTAACAACATCTGTGTGAAGGCTTAGGAAGAGAAGATCAGGGAAAGCCTCACTCTTCTGAAAGTATGCCGAAATGAATGTTGGCAAAAAAAAAAAAAAAACAATAGATGTCTCTACTAACACCCCCGCTGAGATGCCAGGCAGAAAGGGGAAACACGTGATTGCAAACTGGAGGGAAGGCCACCCTTGTCGTAAAGTGACAGAGAACTTGGTCACACTGTGTTCACATCTTCATGGGCTGCGGGAAGGTAGAGTTTGTGAGAGAAGCTGGCTGAGGAAATCCCAGGGAAGTGCTGAACAAGTGGCCTGGTCTATGGTTTTGTTTCTGTTACTGTTTTCTGTGTATTTATAGTAAAATTCCTGCAGAAAGAAACGGCTTCAATCAGAACGGTTCATCAAAGAAGAAACCAACCGAAAGTTTGGAAACCCCTCAGACTGTTTGTATTGAAAGAATGGGGAGGCCTGTGGGGAGAGAGAGCACCAGGTGTCTGGATGATCACGGAGCTAGGAAACACGTTAGTCAACCCTCACCTGTGGTCCAAGACCCCCAAAGACAACTTAGAACTCATCACAGCTGCTCCTCCCATCAGACGCCTAGAGGACAGAGGGCATGGCTTCAAGGGGCCACCAGCAAGTTGGGGAACTCACATTGTGGCCCATACTTCGTTCCTGCACTCTGATGCCTTATTCTTTAGCTGCCAAAATGAAGCTCTTTGGGTCCCAGAGTAGCATACGCCAGACCCAACAAAGTTGTGGGTATATGGATACTACCACTTAGACTTCAGGATACCCTAAAAAGTCAAAGGCACTGAACCCCAGAAGGTGGGGGTGGAGCTAAGGTAGACACAGGGACAATCACCTTAGGAAGCCCCTACTACGATAATTTCCAAGGCACTGCTGGAGGCCAGGCTGCCTAAAGCTATGGAGGCAGGACCACCAGATGCCCGGGGACAAGCCCTTATACAGCAAAGCAACAGAGGAGACAGGACCGTCGCCACCGTGGGTCTAGAAAGAAGGACATCAAGTCGAAGAAGATTACTTACAAGGCTAAGGTTTGATGTTGAGTTTCAGGCACACCCCTTCTCCCTTTGGGGTGGGAATGTCTACTCTTTAGCTGGCCTACCATTGCATTTTACTGTTTATTTGTCTGCCTGTGTTTAGGATTTAACCCTCAGCTGCACCTATGCTAAGCAAGAATTCTACCACTGAGCTGCAGCCCCAGTCCTCACAGTAACATTTTGGAAACATGTGACGCATTTGCTTTCATACACTCACAGCCAAAGAGCACATCATGCTAGGATAAACCACACCGCAAGTCTGACAGTTACAGATGTGGATGGTGTTTATATGAGCTGCTGGGCCTCGGAGTTTTGAGTTGATAATGGAATGAATTAACACTTGTAGGGTTGTCAAGATGGAATTGGTATATTTCAGGTGTGAAAATGATGTGAAATTAGGGAGAGGGGATAGAAAGCTGAGAAATCAAATATCTGTATTCCCAAAAACCCATGTTAGATCTTGGCCCCAGCATGGGAATTTAGGAGGCAGGATCTTCAGGAGGCATTGAGGTCCTATGGATAGCATCCTCACGAATATGACCGGTGTCTTTGTAACAGAAGCACCAGAGAACTGCTCCTCCTTCCTCTGAGAGAGGAGACAGCACAAGCATGGCCATCCTTGCATCTGGGAGAAAGCCTTCGCCAGATAGTGGATCTGCTAGGACCATGAGCTTAGACTTCCTGGCTTCCAGAACTTTCAGTTTTTGTTGTCTTAAGCCTTCTTATGGTAGCCCAAGTGGACTAAAACAGAGAAGAAAAGTCAGCACCTGCCTGGAATCCAGGGACTTGGGAGTCTGAAGACGGAGAACTGACTTACCCAGGAAGTCAGCCTAGGCAATATAGCAAGCCTCTATCTCAAATAACAAAACAACAAAACTATACACACTCTATGACTCAGATGTATTAGAAAATATGAACAAAATACAGTGTATTAAATTCTCAATGAATTAATAAAATATTATGTTTATTTTTTAAATAAAAGTTTTCAAATAAGAAACTCAATTATTATGCTACTTATAGACTAAAAACAATGTTATAAAATTTCTCATTTGCCAAACAAACATTACATGAAAATAAAAAAACAGAGTTCATACTTAACACAGTACTTCAACAGTGAGTTACCTTTTAGGTCAGTTCTTCCAGTTAAATCAGCAGTTACCCTGACACACACAGCCAAACAGGGTACAACATGGGCAAACCCATTGAACACCACAAATGCTCTGATATACAAAGGCAAAAGTGGGCTGCCAATCTTCAGCAACGCAACACAATTACAGTTTTCCATATCACACTAAGTGATAAGCCATCATGAAAAATGGTTTTCTCTCACACATCAAGAAAACCAAAATTTTTCAAGCCTTTTAAATCACACATTCCATTTAATCAATTTATCCTGTGAAAAACCTGGAGCTTGGTAAAAAAGATTTATGTTCAAAATGTTTCTGTGGCATTAGCAAAACAAATTTACAGAAATTATCAATTTAGTTATCATTAGTGGTTAAAGTGCAATAAATATGCATATATGCATGTGAGCTGATCAATACATGTAATATACAGTGTGTGTGTGTGTGTGTGTGTGTGTGTGTGTAAGACAAGATATCACGCTACAGCTCAGGCTAGTCTAAACTAATGATGAACCTCTTGCTTCATCTTCCCAAGTGAAGATAGAATATGAATATAGATATGAGCCATGACACCAGCCTTTCTCTCTCTCTCCAAATATATATATGGTTTTTTGAGACAGGGATTCACTGTGTTGTGTAGCCCTGGTTGTCCTGAATCTCACTCTGTAGACCAGGCTGGCCTCGAACTCACAGAGATCCTCCTGCCTCTGCCTCCTGAGGGCTGGGATTAAAGGCATGTGCCGCTACCACCACCACTACCTAACTCTATATTTTTAATTAAACTTTTTTCTCTAAAGTCATCAATTTCCAGGCATCTAAAACTTCATTCTCAAACATTCTTAAATATTCCCTAGCAAATCAAACCACTATTACTAGCAATTGATACATTCATTTAAACTCAGAAATCTGGCTTTAACACATCAGTTGTCTCTTCTGCCTAAAAGAGCTCCCACATGAAAAATTCTGTCTTGTCTGCGAGATGTCTGCTCGCGATAGCTTTGGAGCTGCTCAAGCTGCCGGCTTCTGCTTACCTGGATTAGATGTGTACTGCATTGCAATCATTAGCATGGCGGACGCAGAGAGGTTCACATGAGCTGGGACGCCTTCTTTCCTGGAGGAGCCCACTGAAACCAAAATTGTCTGATTAGATACAAATTAATTTCTAGATATGAGCACATAATTGCTGGCTTACCTAGAACCACGAAAGAGCTTAACGAGAAAGTTCCAACTAAGCTGGGGCACTGCTGACTTTCCTCCTTTTTTAAGATGGTGTCTCATGTACCCCAGACTAGCCTTAAACATTCTATGCAGCCAAGGTGACCTTGAATTCCTGATCCTCCTGCCTCCACCTCTCAGAGCTGGTACAGGCATGCACCCGGTTTATGGAATGCTGGTGATCAAACCCAGGGATTTGTGCTCGTAAGGGAAACACTCTGCAAACATTAGAGCCCCAGAGCTGATAGAAATTCACAGAGACAAAACCACAGAACTGCTCCTTGCGTACAAACGCTACCATCGTGTGCCACTGTAAAAACACCTAGAGCACAGCCACGTGGAAAAGATATAAAACCAGAATATACTGGCTTTGTCAGAGTTGAACTTTGGTGTGATCTCTATTCCCAAGATGCTCATATCTCTAAAAGAAAGAAAGGAGAGCCTCCTGTGGGCCCAGGGCACGTAAACATGTTAACAGTTAACATAAGAAAGCAGATTTTTAAGCCAACTAGAACATATTAAAAATTAGAGAGGCAAGCAAGCCAGCTTCAGAAAATATATAACTTCTTATTTAGTTATAAATGCAAATCTTAAGTCACATATTATGAAAATGATCATGCTTGTTTTTAAATGGTTTTTGGCATTCATATGTCCCTACACAACTGTATCCAAACCTTCCCATAGAACCCCATCAGTATCTTTGTTACCATAAGAAATCGCTTGCAGTTTCCCACAGTCTACCCTCCTCACGTCGGTCTGAGTTGTTTGGAGCAAAGCACTTTTTTGAATCTATGAATAGCTGTGAACAACGTTTATACTGTGCCAACAAACGTCCAATCACAAAGCAAGCAGGTGTCTTCAAAAATCACCTAATTGCTGTATAATCCCGATATCCACTTATACACTGATTTATTTAAACTCATCTTTAAGTGTCTTGTTTATGACGACATTAAACTCTATATTAAAATTGTCTCTATTTCATAGAAAATGCTAGGTAGCCCCATAAGTATTCAGAACTAGCTCTGATGAAAATTATTTGGCATAACATGTTTTCAGTCAAAGGGTACTTTTATCCCATTAATAACTGAGAGAGACCCCCACAAAAGGAAGACTTTTCTTAAGATTAAAATATAAAATGAATTCCTTCTTCCACAGAGATAACAGAAGAAGTAGAAGAAAACAGTTATACATACACTCATATACCAAGCTGCCAAACGGAGAAAAAACAGCACACAGAAGGGAAAGACTCACAAAGTCAACACTATTTCTACACACTAAAGACCACTGATGCAGACAGTCAGCCCAAAGCAGATAACCTCAAATTCAGCTTTATTGTACATTAAAGTAAAGTGTATGGGAAGCAGGCCTCATTTACATCGAAAAAGAACAGGCAATGCAATAAGACACTCAGTAAACAGAAACATCAAATCACTAGTTAGAGGTTGTCATGCAATAACGGAGACAATGAAAGTTTAATAGGATTCTATTTTGTTTCCACATCAAGAACTTCCGATGCTGTAAAGGACAGCGGTCACTGCTACAGGTTGAGAGACGCCAGCCAACAGAACAGGCCCCTAACTGAGTTCTGCTAGCCCGAGTCTGGGTTTATTAACCACCTGCGTCTGCCTGTGTCTGATTCCCAGGGCAGGTGGTATTCAGGCATAGGTCTGCCTGACTCTCCACTGTAAACAAAAGCTGATAGGTAGACCAGGGTGGATACAGAGAGCGGTACACTGCTCCGAGGGGTGAGGATGACTAATCAAGTGGGATAAACTGAAGAGGAAAGAGCTCTGAATCAGATGCTGAAGAGCGGGGCACATGGTTTTCCACCTAGAGATCCTAGCTCAGCCAGTGTGGGAGATTGGAAACGCTCTGTTAAATTAATAAGCACATCAGCGGCTCTCATGCAAGCTGGCCTTGGATCTGCCATCTATTAGAGAGATGAGGGGTGAGCAAGGGGATGCCCAGGCCAATACCCAGGGCTGGAGAGAGGGAGCACATAGACAATACTCCCGTGCCTTTTGTTGAAGAAGAAAAGAAAAGAATGCCTCCTCCAACATCCTGAACAATAGAAGAGCATCTCTCCCCCCTCCCTCCCTCCCTCCCTCCTCTCTCCTCTCTCCCCCTCTCTTGTCACATGTATGCATATATACATATATTCTTTTGGTGACAAGTGTTTTCACCTTTATTTAAATTCAACTCAAACTTTTTAATCCTAAGCATTTTTCAACAATGAAAACTGTTAGAGAGGTTGGGAGCCACTGTGCCCAGCGGCCTCTAAAAGCGGGAGAGATGCCCAACTGTCTCAGATGATTTAAGTGAAGTCTGTTTGGAGAGCTGCCCAGATGGCTCAGCGACCTTTGGATGTCCCTGTTACCTCTGTAAATCTATGCTGTCCCTCAAGTATGGCCATCCATAAAGCCACAAGAGTTCCCCCAGGACACAAGCCCCAGGAAATTGGCTCCGATACTTATATAAACAGACGGTATCTTGCAATTTCAAAGCCTTCTACAACACCGAATAAAATCACCATGGCTCTAATTTAATAAGCATGCACAAGCAGGCGTCATTTACTGAATCTTGTGTAAAAGGCATGATGTAAACAGATACGCAGCTTGATCCCATGAGAGTACAAAAAAAAAACCATATACAATTAAACGGAAAAGACTATTGTGCTCAGGAAATATAATGAAAAGTTTCCAGGCCTTTCCCCTATTCCCCCAGTAGCACCAGAACAGAACCTGCCATCATGCCTTCCTCCCACGAACAGTACTGATCCCTTAACATGTGTCTGCATTGGATAATCCCCAATGGGCTAGGTGTGCAGTTCTCACACGATTCTCACCTCGAAAAGGAAGCAGGTGACAAAAGTCATTTTGTAGGTGAGAGATGAGCTAGCGACAGGAATGCACCAGCCTAATTCCTGAGACAATGACAGTCCAGGATGAGTATAATCATCGCTAATGTTCCAATCACTCACTCACACACTACTTTTTTTCATAGAACTGCACCAGGCATCATTCTCGGCCCTTGGTTACAGCGGTAAAGGAGGCCATCGCCAGAGTTGGGTTAGGTACTGTATAGTTGGAGGTGGCTATGTATATTAGTTAAGAAAAATTTTAAATTACATTCTTTAGCCTCACTAGACACATCACATGTGCTTAGTAACCCTATGTGGTAATGGCTACAGTACGAGGCAGCATAGAATTTTATTTCTATTTCCATTATCAGAGAAAGTTCTGTGGACAGTGTTGTTCTACAGAAAAGGACATGCATTGGCCACGAAGAAGCATGAATATGGGCAAGGGAACAGAGAAAAGATGGTGGAAAGTTCTGAATTAAATTAGAAAGGAAGGCATCTCAAAATATGTGGTTCTTAAGAGTATCCAGGAGGGCGGCTCAGGAAGTAAAAGCGCTGGCTGCACAGGCCTGACCATTTAAACTGCATCTCCAGAACCCACATAAGAAGCTGGATGCAATGGCGGGCAGCTGAAGTCCTGGCACCTGGCACTGCAATATAGAAAATAGAGACTGGAGAACCGGCCAGAAATCTTGGGCCATCTGGAGCATATAGAGCAGCAACAGAGACATCAAAGGAGATCCTGTGCAACAAGGTGGAGAAAACTGACTCCCAAATGTTGTTCTCTGAATCTCTCTCTGTCTCTCTCTGTCTCTCCTTGTCTCTCACTGTCTCTTAGTATTTCTCTGTCTCCCATCTATCTCTTTCACTCTGTGTCTCTCTGTCTCTCTCTTAAATGCACACACACGCACACACACACAGACTCATTTCTTTAAAAGATGCAGTACTTACACTGTGACCTAAGGGAAACCCACCATGAGATCATTTAGAGGGGCTCTGAGACAAGGGGTGCAGTATAAACACAAAGCCTTTGTAAAACCACAGCAAGGCTGATGCAGACATGCAGAGCAGTCACGTGGAGAAGCAACAATGAAAGTAGAGAAGCTGGCCACAGCCAGATCAGAGTCTTGCGAGCCAAGGAAGAATCTAATTGTTAAGAGTGACAAGAAGCTAGATGGTTTGGAGGAGGGACAGAACATGGCATAATCCACATGTTTGGAAGGTGACTCTGGGTTTGACGTAAAGAACAGGCAATAGGAAGCCTAAGCAAGGAAGTAGAGAGACCAGACCTGAAGTTATTGGTCTGATCCAAATGACCACAATAAGCATAGTCTATGGATAGGTTAAAATAAATCCCACTAGCCTTATAGTCTGCTAAATGATAAAGATAAGAAAGACAACTAGGGTGAAGAAACTTCTACAGTTGGCCAGATAGCACTATCTGGATAGAGACGTGGCCTCTCCTCTCACAGGCTTTGGGCTTGTGCTAGTGAAGATGGCTGCACTCCATTAGGTAAGGTCTCTGTTAGAGAGAGCCATGACTTCAGAAGGCAGCAACTAAACCAAAAGAGAATACCAGGATCACAAGACTCTCAAGCCTATGCAGTCTTAAAATACTTGCCATTTGGGTTAGTGAAGCAAGACGCCCAACTTCACAAGTACTTTGAGTGCAAAACCTGCGGCGGTTTTATGTGTACTGTCACATAAGGGACAAAGTAAGCCAGGGACAGTCCTACCGCTCCTGGATGGCCCTTTGCCGCAACAGTGTATTCAACAGGGAAAAGCAGTAGAACAACATGAACAATCTCAGCAGGGAAGTGTCAGGATTCATTGCAATGTGATTTAATTAATATGTCTATGATTTGTCTGTGCATTTGATCCATTATATATTGGCATATCATAGAATGTTCAAATTCCAGTCTCATGTAGCTTTCATTTCGTGGTCTTCACAACAAAGCTGGGATGTAGATAGGGCAAGTTATAATTATTGACAATCCTGTATCTAAGAAAATAAAAGTTGAATGGGGAGAGAAAGTTGTGCAGAGCCAAAGAACTATAGCTCTGCCCCCAGTGAATCCTGGTGCCAAACATTTTCAACAACGAAGTTCTCACAGCAACACCTACCTCGTGAATGCAACCATTAGCAAATGAGCAGACTATGCATGACAATGGTTATTCAAATGTCACCAAGAACTTGCCTTTTCTTTATTTTTTTCTGTGCACAATTAGTCTCATAAGACCATAGAACTATACCACGTGTTCCATGTGTAGCCAAAACCAAACAATAAAACCACAGCTTGGAACTAGATATGCAGTGAAGTCATACATGTGTTTCTAAATCAACACAACGATCTAAATGAGCCTTTCTTTTTCCTGAGGGTCAGTGACTGAGAAAATCTAAGGTAGGAAAGAAACTGGATTCGATGAAGCACAGTACAGGCTGTTGCTCAGCACTGTTTCTGTCTTCAGAATAAGACAGCCCACACGAACGGATGTTTATTTAAACTATATTAAAGGATGCCTATTTAAACAATATGGAAGTATCATCATCCAAAGATCCATATTTCAATTTGGACAACAAATCACAAATCCTTTATTGGAAAAAGAGAGGTTTCCATGGTGATGTGCAAATGATTTGTTTTTTCCAATACTTAGTAACTCTTCTAATATACTTTTATAAACAGCATAGATTCCACACATATGGAATAAAGAGATCTGTATTTTATTTTTGGAGGAGTTAATAAGAAAAACATGTCAAGAAGAGTTTTTATAATAAATTGATGAGTTATTTAAAAGGAGTTATTTAAAAATAAATCATAAGCGATTAGTGTGGTAATAAAGATGGCAAGAACAGTGTGTATGCTACACAGCCAATGATTGGTTTGGAGAATTGGATCCACTTCAAAGCTCAAAACTGCATCTTCTAAGTAATACAGACAATATGATCATTAATTATATAATAAGTAGTTATATAATCATTAATGATACTCATTTTAAAATGGAAAATATCTATTCTTTACATTGACTATAAAAATTCCATACCAAAGAGATTTTTTTTTTAACATCTTCCTGTAAGTTTTGTTTTGTATTGTGTTTTGTTGTTTGCAATAGGGTCTCCTTAACCTTGAATTTGTAGTGATCCTCCTGCTTCAGCACCCCAAGTGCTAGCATTACAAACCTGCAACTTCGTGTCAGGCAAAGTCCTTCTGGCAAAGACTACCAAGTATTTAGAAAATGCAACATCTTTTATCTAACATCTTTGTGCTGAGATAAAAAGACTCTGGACCAAGTTAAATGTCCCTGCCCTGATCCAGTGTGAAGCTCTAGATACCGTGACAGCTACCAAAAATAGAAACAGCATGGATAATATAATAAGACCACTCCAATCCTCACTGCAATCCATTCTACCTGGAATCTGAAAGTCTGTCTCTTCTGTCTTAAGGTCTGTGTATGAAGAAACAACTCAGTCATCTAAGAGCAGGCATGCAGGTCACCACTACAGCTCATTTCAAAGACGGCGAAGAGTGACTACAAGTGAATGACCAGGAGGGTGCTGAGAAGTCGCCCAAGCCAACAGGCTAAAACAGAGTGACAAGTAAACACGTGAGCCAGGCCTACCAATGGATGGACAAAGGTATGCAAAAAAAAGTTGGTGTTATAGAATAAATAATCTAATTTTAAAAATGGGGTACAGATCTAAACAGGGAACTCCCAACATAGGAATCTAAAATGGCTGAAAGACACTTAAGGAATGCTCAACATCCTTAGCCATCAGGGAAATGCAAATCAAAACAACTCTGAGATTTCATCTTACACCTGAAAGAATGGCCAAGATCAAAAACACTGATGACAACTTATGCTGGAGAGGATGAGGGATAAGGGGAACATTTCTGCATTGCTGGTGGGAGTGCAAACTGGTACAACCCCTTTGGATATCAGTATGGTGATTTCTCAGAAAATTAGGAAACAACCTACCTCAAGATCGAGCAATACTACTTTTGGTTATATACCTAAAGGATGCTCAATCATACCACAAGGACATGTGCTCAACTATGTTCATTGCAGCAATATTTGTCATAACCAGAACCTGGAAACAACCTAAATGCTCTTTGACTGAAGAATGAATAAGGAAAATGTGTATATCTACACAATGGAGTACTACATAGCAGAAAAAAAATAATGACATCTTGAAATTTGTGGGCAACTGATAGAAAACATCATATTGAGTGAAGTAACCTAGACCCAGAAAGACAAATATAACATGTACTCACACGTAAGTGGCTTTTAGACATAAAGCAAAGAAAACCAGTCTACAATTCACAATCCCAGAGAACCTAGACAACAAAAAGAACCTAAGAGAGACATACATAGATCTAAACTATATGGGAAGCAGAAAAAGACAAGATCTCCTAAGTAAATTGGGAGCATTGGGGATCAAGGGAAGAGGGTAGAAGGAGAGGCAGGAGGAAAGGAGGGGAACAAAAAAAATATATAGCTCAATAGAAACAATTTTAAAAATTAACATTGATCTTGTTCGACCTAGAATTATTAAGCCAGAAATAACCAGGGAATTTTAACTTGTTTTCTGAACATCCCCGCTTTTAAAGCTGAAAAAAACCATTATGTCTCAGAGACATGAAGTGACTTGCTCATACATTCAAAGGAATAAATATCAAGCCATTCCACAAAGAAAGACTGAAATTCACACATATTTTTAGGTTCACATCACTCATTTTTAGTACTCAGTTGCTTCAGATATTTGTGTAAAACAGGATTTTAACATGACAAGGTTTGTGTCTGGGAATCTCCACTTCTAATTAAGGAGGAATTAGTCACCAGCTTTGCAAAGAAACGAGCTGACAATACCTGATCAACCTTCGCCGAGGTGAGCCGCTCACTGCCTGATCAACCTTCAGTACGGTGAGACGCTCACTGCACCAATGTCTCCCCACAAATTACTTATCCCCAAGAACAGGGGCACAGCGAGCTAGATTATTACCAGTAAGAAACCGTCTCACCTGCCAATCTTTTTTTTTTTTAAAGATGCCTGTTCATTTCCTTAACAGTCGACATTATTTTAAAACAAGATCACAAAATTCTAAAACTATACCCACAAGCGAGCACTGGTTCATGAGATCGCATAGGTGAAACAGAATGATATACTCTACAACTTGGAGTGACATCAACAGTTCGCTCATTTTCCCCTGCTGCTAAATAATTAGGATATGTTAGCAAATATTTTATGTTTAAACATTTGCTAAATGTGATGTTTAGCAATATTAAATATTTGCTGAATATTTTTAAAAATTATTAACAAAGAGTCGAACTCTTTGCTGAAAAGACATGAAAATTACAGTTCTATACCTAAGTTAAACTCCACTCTAAGGTGAAGCCCAAAAGGTACATGTGTTTGTCAGCTGCTGATACACAGCAACTTTAATAAGGGCATAATAAGTACATAACTTAATGTGATGAGCACTGATACCAGGAGTTAGACATGACCAATAAAGCTATTTTTATTTTTAAAAAAAAAAATCAAGGGAAGAAAAGCAGGTATGGTGGTGTGCACCTAAAATCCCAGTATTCAGGGGGCTGAGGTGGGAGGGTGAGTGACAGCCAGCAGGCTCCGGGTGGCACACTACCAGCACCCAGGCTAATCACGCTATCCCTTGACACATCAAGATACAGCCACAGTTGCTGTTCGTGAGGCAGCTAAGGTTGCTAGTCACAAAGGAGCTGTGATTATCCACGAGGAAGCTATGATTACTATTTTACAGATAACAATCAAAGATAAATTCGCATAGCTAGCCAGTGGCAGAGCTGAGATTTGCATCTTGATCTGGTTGAATTCTTAAGCCATCACTTTTTCAGCTTATTCCCTGAAACATAGGCTGATCCACAATCCACTTGTAAAGAACACTTTAGGGACTGTGATTACAGAAGCTGAAACTGTGCTTGTTTTCTCTTTGCTTTCATGTCTGAGGACCCTGTAGAATTATGTATATAAAAGTTGAAAAGAAGCCATAATCCTAGCACTCGGGAGTCCAAGACAGCAGATCAAGAATTTGAAGAAGCTTTTGACTACAGAACTAATCAAATTCCAGGCCGACCTGGAGTTGTGAGGCTCAGTCTCCAAAAATATCAATAAATAGACAGAGAAGACTGGTCCCAGGCTTGCGACTGTATCTTGCATAGGAGTCATGGGCGCTGGCTTTATTTCCAAAGCATGTCATAAATTTTGACTCATTTTGTCATCAAAATACCGAGAAGGAAAGCTGATCCAGTCACCAGCATCGAATTAGATTTCAACCACGTGAACTGAGCTGTATAACCCTCCACAGCATCCTGCGGCAGAGCTGGAACAGGAGGATACGTCTCCCCACTCTCTGCTGCCCTACCCATCCTCCCAGCTGCCTTCACCTGCAGGAGGAAGCAGTCTTCACACCAGACAACATTCTGTCCACCTTCTTTTCTAACGTGGAAAAAGACACTGTAATTTATAAGTAGGAAACCCAGAATGCTTTGACACATTCTTTCCTCCTATTCCATGAAGGCAAACTGAGCAAATAGCGTGATGATCCTAAGGTATAATCGTCTTTCACATCATCGACTTCCTACATAACGTAAATGCTGAAACAATTAGAATTTAGATCATAGCAGGTGTACATTATCACGTGATTCCATTGCAATCTTGAAAGTCAAGCGCCTGTAACAGTAAACACAGTTTCCATTTGTACAATATACAAAGATAATTTTAGGATGAGGTGAGATTGAACTTACATATGGCCATTGGTAGAAAAGATGTGCTAAGGTATTCAATAATATCCTTGTGAAGAAATGGAGGGAAGGTAGCTAGCGTTGAAATCATCGTGTAGGGCAAAGTGCTCAGAACATCGTCATTGAGAAAGGGTAGCAAACATGTGGTTGTATAAAATATTGACTGTCCAAGATCTACAAAACAAAATTAAGTAGTCAGCCACTGAAGATGGTGTCATTAACAAAACATGCTACCTTTATATTTTAATAATCTAAACTATAAAAGCATCTATTGTTCCCTTTCTACTAAGAATTCAGAAATACACTGCTTATTAGAATGTGGGATGTACATAGCAGTTAGTTGGCGAATATATTAAGAAATAAATCTGTTCCATGAGTTTCTCATCAGTGTATCAGTCATCTGTAAGCCTCACTAGTCAGGTGACCCTTGATCCCATTAATCAAAGCACTTTCCAAGTGATGCTAACATCCTTCAATTTTTTTTATCTCCATTGGATTTCATAAAGATAACTGAAATACAGTGATGTGCCCAGTAGAATTTTCAGAAAAGTCCAGGGCAGTATTAGAAATTAAGACCTGGCTATTTCTGCTACACCGGCCAAGCCACACTAGTCCTACGCCTGTAGTCTCGGGCAGCGAGGTAGTTTGTGACCTCTAGATTAGGTGTGCTTCGCAGAAAGGAAGCTAGGGGCTGGTACTGCACAGCCCTTTGCATCCTGTTCATTGTCAGGAAGCTGATCCTCCTCAAAATAATCTCTCAAGGATTTAAAATACAGATAATAACAATACCTACCTGGCTTGATAGAAGTTTAGATGAAATAAATACAAAGAACTCAGCATAGCATGTACTCCAAAAACATTAGCTAGTACTTATTGCCATTAATATTACTATCATTGTTACCTGCATGAGAAGTAAACATAAAGGGCCTTCAAAACAAACCACAACTATTCAGCTTTAGAAAGCATGAAGAATAAATCCATTACATTTGATGTGCACTGTGATATTTCTGAACCTCTTGAAATATAGACCATCAGCCAAGGCTTGACATGAAGATGGATCACTTCTGCACTCATTAAGATAGTGAAGTCTCAGACTCTGGTCTGCTTTGGCTCTGATTCATCTTCCAGAATCATGTGCATTCCTCAAATTATTTCTAATAATTGTGAGAATTAACAAACCATATTGACTGGCCTGTCAGCTGACAGTGTGGTCAACACGCAACCTGAACAGCCCAGGTACATCGCCTTTGAGCTCAGACCAACAAGCGGAAAATTCACAGGTATTTTTGTGTGAATTCCATGAGGCTGTGCATAAGAGACACCTCAGCTATGTTCATTGAGCCTTTTTTCAGCCTTAGGCTAAAAAGCCTAATTACAGATTAATAGCACTGAAAGGGCCTGGAAGCCCACCTGGGGTCTTTTCTACCCAAGGAAACTGAGATACAGAGAAAGCAGGAGCTGCCCAAATCACAATTCACCCGTAGTTGAACTACTCCTTCTCATTCCTATAGGCCACCTAGACCCGGAATGAGGACAGAGACTCTAGCCAGTGAGCAGTCAATCATTCTCTATCAGAAGAAGCTTCGCAGGAAGCTCGCTCAGAGCATCAGCTGGCAGGACCAGTCCTCAGAGATTCTCACTGGATCTGCAATCTCCAAGTTCCCTGTGGCCCAGGTTGTGCAGAGAACCTTGAGAGAAAGGGGCTGTCTGGGCTCTCTAAACCCTTTGCTAGAATGCTGGTGAGCTTTATCCTAGCTTCTAAGCTATATTATTCAGAAGAAGAACACAATAAATAAATATCAAGATAAGGTCACAAGGCAGGCATAAGGCATGAGAGCAAAAACATAAATCATCGATACTGAAATTGTCAAGATTCACACATTATGTGAATTGCCATTTACCAAGCGAAATACCACAATCAAGAAATCTTAAAAATAAAGGGCATCTAGTCTGACCCGGTGACTCTCCCCAGGGACACATGAGTCCATGCTGAATTTAGGACTGGGTGCCACTTGACACCTACAAGCTCCCAATTTGTCTCATTTTGGTTCTGAGCTGGGAGAGGATTGTAGCACAAGAGGCTAGGTAGGTTTAAGACAGCAAAGGGTTCGAGATAAGCAACTCCACAGCATAATACAGCATTGTAAAGACAAGAAAAGCAAATTCAGTAATAATTTCATCACTTTATGAAAGGAAACTTTAAAAAATTTCAATTACAAACACTTCATACTAAATCAACCATTAAGCATTCTTCTAGGACAGACAACCATATTAAAAAACAAAACAACTCCCACCACCCACCCATTTCCAAAGCTTGCTTTTCTGTACAATGAAACTTCTTCGGTTATCACACTCCCAGGGGCCAAATGGCAAATATTTTAAAGACAGCTCAGGCTTCTAAACTGCATTTAAGAAGCAAATCTCTACTGTCCATACAGTTTTGAATTTTTAAGTTCTCCCAAATCCATAGTGGATAGCTAAGCAGACATCACTGTACCCCTCTGTGTGGATCTGAAGAACAGAGGGGACAAACAATGGAAAGACACAGTAGGATGGGGTGGAGAGAGGAAGCCTGCTCACCAACGGCTTCTACTCTAAATACCACCGGCAACACCGTGTGCTATAATCCTTGCCCCAGTATTTTGCAGTAACTGCTGGTTGTTAAATAAATCAGGCATTTGTTTTACCAGGAAAAGTGAGTCCCGGAGAGAATTTTTGGTTTGCCCCTGAAACTCTCAGAATCAGTCAAGGATTAGAGCCTGCTCTTCAAACGCAACCTCTTACATTTTCTGGGGCAAAGCTTCAAACTCAGCTTCTCAACTGTGGCCTTAACAAGAGTCACCACAATAAACTGATCAGTGAAGGGAGCTGCCTGCTATATTCACCGTCTCCAGTTCATTGTCTCCTGCTTCCAACCCCTTGAATAACAACGCTGGGCATAAGGACCGTGTGAAATGAATGGAAGGGAAGCACCATTATTAAGTTTCATCGTCAGAAAGGCTTCAGACACACAAAACCCTTCAAGAGATTTACGACAGTAACAACATTCTCCAAGCCTGCCTGCTCAGCACCATAAATATTCATAAGCACGCATGGACATTCCCAAAGACTTCAGTAAAAATGCTCACCGTGTTGGCCATGCTGTAGTAAAGGAACTAGATCCAGGAGAGTCACCAAAGTCACGTAGAGGCCTTGGTAGTCCAAAGAAGGGTAGTCTGACAACTGAGCATCACGACTTTGCGGGCCGCGTTCTGAAGGAGCATCTCGCAGGACGCTGTAAAGGAGGGAGCGAGTAACAGTAGGGTTGATGGAACTGACCTGCGGTCTTAGAGATGGGGTGAGTGGGAATGGCACAGGAAAAAGACACATGGTCATGGGCACTGTCAAATTGGAGGCATCTTGGTTTTCCTTCTTCCCTGTGCGGGACAAAATGCTGTTGGGGGGACAAAGAAAAAAAAGAGACAACAAAGACACAAAGAACAGCACATTACATTGAAATGACACTCTAAAACAAATAATAAAACACCAGATACACCCACATAAGATGCAATTGCCACCGCAGCACGGCCTACGGATCTAGTGCTGGTCGCACAGCCATGTGCTCAGAGATGTCAACAACGCAGGTGGACTTTGTGGAAGTTGCATTGCATCTCATGTGTTATCTGGTTTATAAGGAGCAAAAATATAAAAATGCATGTTTCAGTGCCAAACCCATGTTTTACAGTTTGTCAATTTGGCGAAGGAGCGGTTTCCTAGCATGAGGAACGCTGACTTGGCTTCATCTGGGAGGGCTCTCACTCCTAATCATACCGAGTTTTCAAAGCAACGCAGCAGTACTATCTCGTCATGTAGATAGAAACTTGCAAAATATAGGTATGGCACTTGCAGAAACATGTTTTAGCAAAGAATAAACATGTGCGTTTATTAAGAAAGTCTTAAAAATCACATGTTTATTGCATCAAAATAATGTCTATATGTATATTATGATACTGTTTCATGACATTCTGTCAGTATCATTTGAGATAATGAAGTTTAAACAGGCATATGAACTTAGAAATAATACATATTTCTAAAGTGTTAACTAAACTACATTGGAAAAGCTATAAAATAATATATAGTAAATGGCCCATAGCGTGTGTTGGTGAACTAAAGATAATGTATGTGTGTGTGTGTGTGTGTGTGTGTGTGTGTATGTGTGTATGTGTGTGTTTTAATTTGGCATGTTGGGAGGAAACATTTTATTTTATGAATACAAACAGTGTTTATTAAATAGTTACCGTGAAAACTCTAAGAGCTAAGCAAGCGTCATCTACGGGAAAAGCTGTGCATCATACGAGATCTCTGATGGTACTGCTGTTACTTACTTTATTAGTCAACAAAACTCACTAAAAACTAGAGAAAAGATCATGTAGAAAGTTAAAAAAGCTTAATGAGAATAAATGTAGTCTCTAAATATCGTTCTACTTTTAGTCTCCATTGAAATCTATGAAACTTTTAGTAAAAGTTACAAAGCAGAAAAGTTGTTGATTTAAAAGTCAAATTACTTCTTAACCAAATGTTTAGGTTTTAAAATGAGATTATGCTATTTTCCAGTAGGCAACCGTTATGCACTATAGCGTCTACAGCACGTAAGTGCTTTCCTATGGTATACTTATTTGTTAGTAAAAATAGAAAACAGTTTCTAAATGCTTCTTTTCATTGTCTTATACTTACTCTATGTGCATCCAACATTACTAAATTCTCAGCTAACGGTGTGACGTCTACAATGTCACAGTGGTGTGAGGAACTGGTTAGTGCCAGCATGCTTGTTATGTCAAGTCGACATTGAATTTTTTTTTAATTTTCTCTTAGCGCAGAAATATGTTACAATGTAAAAAAAATGACTACATGCTTTTTATTTTCTAGGTGCCTAATTTACCTCCATTTCCTCTGTCTTCTGTTACCCAATGTCCAAGGAAAAACAATAATAATAATGATAATAAAGATAATTTCAGAATAGTTATGTAATACTTCTTAGCAATAAAGAACTTAGGAGCTGCTGTCTTTGTTTTGGTTAAAAGGGATTTAATTTACCTGCATTAGTGTGTGCTATACTGGGCTTTGTAACCTTAAACTGTGCAGTAGGATAACGCTATTCCACCTCTCACCGTCTGCCTACCTCTATTATAGAGAACATATATTTTTGAATCAGACTTTTATAGTTTCCCACACAACGAAATTACTCCTCAGATTACCATATTTACATGTTACATTATTGATAAGTCCAGTTACCAACAATTTTAGTCCTATGAGTCTATCCCCTGAAATCCCTTTAGAGTCACAAAATGGACATGTTGATATAGTTTCCCAAATTTCAGCATACGTTGGCTAGCTGCCAGCATCTCTTCAAAAAGAAAACACTGTCCCTGAGTCAATAAAAAAAAAGTAGCCGGATATCATAAATGCATGATATGTAAAGTGTCCTTTAAGTCTAGTCAACCACCGCCTTGGTGGGGGATGTGCCACATTATTAACTACACGTTGCTGTTCCAAAGCCGGAGGGGCTGCAGCAAGTGCTAATGGCTCAACTTTGGAAGCTGCTTCTGTGACAGTTTTCCCTCCTGTGCATGTGCATTCCCAGGTGACAGCAATGACAGTGTCCTACGTTCAGGGAGGGAAGAATGCCAGCGCTGAAACAGTACAACTTGCTCTCTCTGCCTTGAGATTTAGCAGGTGAAGTTGAGGAAAAAATGGCGGAAATGAGTTATCCATGAAACCAGTTTTAAATCGCCATTCATGGCTCAATGTAAGGAAATGTGTTCATTGTGGAAACTTAAGAAGGGTTCATGAATCAATGTACAATGCATTGTGATCTTATGATGTTTTGTTTTATGATGTCTTATTCAGAGAAAAAAAAAATTACTTATTTCCCCAGCCAAACTGTTTAACTTGGGAATGATCAACGATTTCCACATCCACCTGAAATTCTTTCCCAAAGGTTTATATACAGATTCAATCAAAAAGAATATTAAGAATGCCCTGTCAGAAGAGTCAGACATTGTGGCCAGCTTTCCACCTCTCTTTTCCCTCTCGGACCCTCTTTGTGAGCACTGGCTTCCATTGTCAAGAAGGAGGAAGACCCCTGGGGTTTGCAAGGGGGTTGAGTGTCCTGAGGCCTTTCTTGCACAGAAATTTAATCCATCAATTCAACTTTCTACACAATTAAGCACTTTGACATTTGCACTGCATCTATGCACTAAACAAATTGACTATATGCTATGCTACGCTTTAAAACTATCCTGTGGACTTTAGATTGTGTGTGTGTGTGTCTATGTGTGTATCTGTGTGCCTGTGTGTACATACCTCTGTATGTGTCTATGTGTGTGTGTCTGTGTGTGTATGTGTGCATTCCTGTGTGTCTGTGTGTATGTGTCTCTGTAAGTGTCTGTGTGTGTATCTATGTGTGTCTGTGTGTGTGTATTTTCATGTCTTTGTGTCTCTGTGTGTGTCTGTGTATGCATATCTGTATGTATGTGTGTGTGTTCTCATATCTCTGTGTCTGTGTGTATCTGTGTGTCTGTGTGTGCATGTCTCTGTGTATCTGTATTTGTGTGTATATGTATATGTGTCTGAGTTTGCATGTGTATATGTATGCATATATGATGTGTATCTATGTGTGTATATGTGTGTATATATGTGTATGTGTTTATGTGTGTTTTCTTAGAAATTCCTATTCTATTAAGAATATTGGGCTGAAACTGGAATCCTTATTTAAAATGTATTTACATTTTCTAACAAGTTGGTAGCAAATGTAAAGATTTACATTAGAGCAGCTCCAAGAACAACAGGAGAGAGACACAGAGGAAGATTCCCAATAAGTCTGAAACAGGAAGGACATTAGGAGCTGATAAATATCCAGCCACCTGGTAAAAGGCAAGATCCTTAAAGGCCTTAGATGATGGAAATGTGACCACAGTATGCTCCTAGCATGAAGTGAACAACCACCTCTGAGCCTGCGATGGCAAATTAGACAATCTTTATTGCCACCCCCAATGCTAAGAGGCACGTAAGCAGAACAACCTCTGCGGGAAAGTCCTGTGAGTCTGTGTCCACTGCCAGACTTGCGACCCTGCTAAGTTAGAATGAGCACGATGCAGCATGCGTATGTCATCCCAGCCAGGGCCTCCAGCCACTGCCTGATGCAGGAAAGGCTTCTGAAAGCTTCTGTACCGGACGAAAATTGACAAAAGTCAATTTTGTGTGTATGTTTGTGTATACGTGTCTGTGTGTATGTGTCTGCCTGCCTTTGAAGATCCCTGTGATAAGACGAAAGCTGCTCTGGGCATAGGGCTCAGTACACTGCCTACGACAGAGGACTTCTCCAACTTGAGTAGAGAGAACCTCGGCAGGCGAATTATCTTATGCAGATGCTGCAGCCAGTGTTATAGTCAGCTGTGGTGACATGCACTCTCTCTCCTCCAGTGGACTAAATGACAGACACTGACCATCTAGGCCAACCTCAGCTTTGCCATTCAAAGCTTTCCCAAATGCACAGACACCAGACAACTAGCATTCTAACAATGTAATCCTAACTCAAATAAAGCCATCTGAACTTTGCAAAATGGTACCACATAGTCCTTCCCAGGGTCTCACTCCCTCTTGCCTCCAGCTCCCTAGTTTGGATACATCAGGCAGGAGCCAGAGTACCCAGATTGTTCTTCCTACTTCTTTGCAAGAACCTGAGTTCTGGAAGCAGCAAGTAGTTCTGAATGTAAAAATTATATAAACACAAAGGAAACCACCTTTTTTGTGGTAGAGAACTTTACTGGCAATAATCAAAGAGCCAAAGACTAAGTTCGTCTCATGTGGCTTAAACTTTCTACTAGCTTCTTAAGAGGAAGGAATATACGTGTGGTTGGAATGGATGCAAGTGCCAACAGTGAAAGGGCTTCTAACGTGGTTCAGTATAAAGAACAAAAGATAAAGGTGTTGTATTTCCATTTTTTAATGAAAGAAAAAAAAAGCTGCACTAGGCACAGAGAAGATAAGAAATACATAGGATTCAGACCAAATAGCTGACCTGTAAATATTCCTATTCAAGTCTGATCCATGATGTATTACATTCGTCAATGTCTTGTGCACATGTGTCTCTGTGGGCATTCACAGAGTCTGCCAGGCTGCTCTGCTCCACCATCTGCAGCTACCTTCTGAGCAAGGTGGAACTGCGACCATCACCTCAGCTCAGCTCCATGGAGCAAAAGTTCTGAATAGACGCCAAGCACTAAACACTCCCTGTCTTCCCTTGATCTTACAGATAGCCAGCCAACAGCACTCTACGACTTTCTGTCAGATGCTAGCTAGCATTCCCAAGGGCGAAATCAAGTTTTTATTAAAGAGAAGTATCCCTGCTGGGTGACAATAACCAGAGTGCAGCAGCACGGCGCAGGTAGCACAGCGTGGGTTGTGGATTAAGATCACCAATGACCTGATGACTCCAAAATTACTAGATCTGTAATACTGAACAACGTATTGGACCACGCGAGTGACTTAGTTTCACTATCTGTGAAATATGTACAGTAGTACCCTTATCTGATTACAAGGGGCTAAAGGAAATGTCACATTTAAAGAGCTTGGAGCAGCACTTAATGTGAAGAAATATAGCTATCATAATATAATGTTGCTATGGTGATGATAGCTATTGCCACTGTCGCCATTAACGGCTATTGATATTGATACCCCTTTAAGATGGACTCAGTCACACAAATATTCTCCGACCATCTCTAGAACAGGCTACTAGAACACCAGTTTCACCATGAAGATGCTGTTACCCCTGACCTCATCATAATGATCGAAACAGAACCCTCACGGTGTCCTAAATTTCTCAACTTATTGGCACAACTTCAAAGCCCTGAGTGGCACACTCTGAAGCCAACAAAGGTGTTGCCATTTCTTCACAAATGGAATTCACAATGTTTCCTACCAGGAAAGTGTCCCTCACTGTGGGTTATAATATGGGAAAGAGTATCCCTTTGGGGCACCCAGCCTCAAAGGCAAAAGGAGAATGTGAAAGGATGGAATAGGATGCCTCGGTTCCCAGTCACCTGGTGATCACTAAGAAAACCTGGCTAACTGTGCTATGCCCTGTGAAAAGGGGAAGTAGCTTGCTCCAGGCTCCTAAACCAGCTACGTGAGCCTAAAACACCTCAGGAACCAGATAAACAGAATCCCTCCATACTAGGACAGGGATACTCAGGATCCTAAAGATAAGACAATATCCAAAGAAGAACGGTAGACATAATCCCTAAGACCAGTGACTGGCTGCATGCAGGATGTGTCTCTCTATAAGTGATCAGCCTGTCTGCATACAACAAACGCCAAATGCCTGGAAAGTCCAGTGCCACTACACTCACTCCAAGGTATGCCCTCTCCATGCCTGACTTACAGAACTCTTGCTGTTGTCTAAATAGCAGAAACGGCCGTGAGTCCAGGGCAAACTCAAAGAGGGATGTGGCAATGGGGAGACAAAGTGCTGGGGTGTAATAGTAAGTGAAATATTCTGAATTCAATGCTATTTGCCAAAGACAGCTCTGTAGCTGGAAAAGGCTCGTCTTTGCTCTTTTGTATTAGTGGCAAGGGTAAAGGGGATGCCCCCTCAGATCTCTGCCCTGCAGTAAAAGGAGACAGGGTAACAGAGCTCCAGCGCTGTTGCTCCCTTGTCCTCGCAGTACTTATTATCAGGTGTGACACATAGGACGGAAGCAGCTGCAACTCCTGCACTAATCTGAGAACCGGGACGTACCAGCAGCAAGCCTAGGCCGCCATGTAACTCTCCGCTTCTTTAAGACTCTGAGTGCTCCTCGCTCTCAATTTTAGAGACTCAAATCTCACTCCCTTAATCTTGAGCCGTTGTGTCAAACACACAACGTTTTTACCATTTGCAGATTTCCCCAAAGAACTCTCAATTGAGGAAGCAGGACACTATCGTGTGGCCCGTGTTTCCAAGGAAACTGGGTTCTGATCTGCTAGACACACCCAGGGGGCTGGAACCCAGACTCTTCTGACAGAGCACTAGAAGGCTAAGGCCTTTCAAGACTTTCAGCTCAGTGTGAAATTAGGTCCCAATCAATTCAGCGATACTACCTAATAGTTCTCTTGAAGTCAAGGGTATGTAAGGCTTACCTTAACAATGTTTGGGAAAAATACTTCAGGGTGTTTGCGATGTCTGTTCCTGATGGCACGGGATAAATGTTGTGGAGAACTCGATTATGATATTCCTGCAAGTACCGGATCTTGGAAGAAACTAGATAAAAGCAAAAAGAAAAAAAAGAAGAAGAAAAAGAAGAACCTTCTTGTAATATGTATCAAACACAAAGGGAATGATTATGTATGAGAATTCAATACATATTTTTAAAAATCCATATAAGTTTTTACTGGAATTCCATGATAGAAACACTAATACAAAACACCTAATTTCTTATAACTGCATCCAACAATTAAAATTATTTTTATCTGGGTTAATATCCTTACACGTACTGTCTATTCCTTTTTCAGTCACTAAGAAAAGCATTATTCTAATAGCTTTCTAATTATCTCCAGATAAGCTTCCTGTTATCAAAATAGCAATAAATATAAGTCTCTGTCACTAGAGAGTTATAGCTACTATGAAGGAAAAAAAAAACCTCAAAACTATAAAATTCCCTGAAAAAGATGTGTGTCCACTGTATAATGGCATCAATTAAAATCATTTTTTTAACTCAGTAAGAATCATGAAAGTGTATTTAATGAATGCCTAACTATGAAGAACATGTTAAGAGTGTATTTACTTTGTGGATATCAAGTAAGAATATGATGATGTGTGGCAATAAAAACACAAACAATAATGGTCACATTTTTCTTCCAATGAATTGCATAAATCAGAAACCATCCTAATAGCTTTCTGAGACTGGCTTCCCAGTCTCGAGACAGGAGGGACACGTGTCGTTACCCTCCTACACCTACCTGGAGTCACCAGCATTGTCCACATTCCTGACCTGACCTTTGACCTGGCTGTAGTGAATGGCCCAGCTCTAGTCATTCCTCTTTGCAAATCCCAAGGAGCCATGATGATCAACGTCTCTCTGGTCTCCTCTTCCACAGAGTTCTCAATACTGTCCGTTTGTCCTTTCAATCTTTAAGGCTAGCCAGGGAGCCTTTTAGGTGGCATGGCTCACTGTCAGCAGTTAGCAGAAGACATATGATGTCCCGGAGAAGCAGGGCTTTGCTGTTCCCAACAGCCAATGGGAATAAGCTCCTGGATGGGTCTAACTGAAACGCTGGCTTAAGCAACTTAAAAAAAGTCAAATGCTTTTGACAGGTGCGGAACGGAGAACCACAGAACAATAAAGTATCAGAACACAGAGACACTTAGAGCCCTTTTTCCCCTAACTACTTCATTTGAAAGGTGGGGAAATGAGGCACACGGGTGGGTAGCGGTAGGGCAGGGCTAGCGGTTAGTTCTCCTGACTCACGATCCAGTGCTCTTTCCTCTACGACATGCTCGAGAATACAGTTCTGAGACTGAGCCAGCATGCACACGGTATATGTTCATGACACAACATCAAAGCAATCGTCAGCAGTTGTTCGGCTAATCACTATTCTAAAGTAACGTCCTCTATTTATCAGACTTGCCTTTTCTCCTTTTTGCTTCTGGGCATTCTCCCAAAGAAATACATTCACATTGCAGATGGACAGCCTTGGGTTCGTACAACACATCCTCTCCAAAGACAGCAATAACTTTAATATCTATTGTTTCATTTAACCCATGGTATTTGATTATAAACAATTTTTCTGAGAAGAACTATAAATAGGTAATACCTGGAAAATATATCAATTATATAATCAACAGAATCCATTTTCTCCCAAATGTCTTTGACCTGTCATTCATCTTAATTTTTATAATGACATTACAAGAAACACTCATGCTAATGTATAGTTTTACGTTCCAAATATCCGAGAAATATGCCAGGCCGGCTTATACTTCCTCACACCCACTATCACAATGATGTTTTATTACTGGGACTTTTCTCAACTTTTAACACTCAGAAGGTCTATGTGGAGAATTTAGGGAACATCATTAATCATTCTACTATCTAAAAAGAAACTTGATGATAGCACAGAATTTGAGCAACAAGCTGAAATAAGGAGAAAAGTCAAAGATCCCCCAACTCATTGGCTTGCTCATAATTCAAGAGCTTTAAAACCATCATTCCACAGTGACTGCAGGCATTCAAACATATTTGTGAGCTGAATGGATATACTTTTATAGCAACTTGCATTAAAATGCAGGGGCAGCTCCTTTCAATGAGTTTCCAAACTTGCATGGGAAAGCAGACACTATAGGCCCTTCCTTCTTTGAGATCTTTGTATGGTTTACATATTCACAATGCGTTTACAGATTCACGTAGTTCACTTAGCTGCTTATTTTTCTATATCAAGATAGGAATATGTTGGGAAGCATCTCACTTGTGTTTCCATCCCAATCTTAAAGACACTGCCTAGAACTGATTGGGTACCCAACATAGTCATAAGATTTAGGTGAGTTAATAACAGCTTTAGCGCTTGATATCTGTGTGTGTGTGTGTGTGTGTGTGTGTGTGTAAAATACACATATATATAGTACTTACGGATTCTTTATTCTTAGATCCCAGACACCTAGTAAGTACTCAGAAAGTTACCAGTGATTCAAGGTGGAATAAAAGGATAAAGAAAGTGGTAAAAGCCGGGCGTTGGTGGCGCACGCCTTTAATCCCAGCACTCGGGAGGTAAAAGGCAGGCGGATCTCTGTGAGTTCGAGGCCAGCGTGGTCTACAAGAGCTAGTTCCAGGACAGGAACCAAAAGCTACGGAGAAACCCTGTCTCGAAAATCCAAAAAAAAAAAAAAAAAAGAAAGAAAGAAAGAAAAGAAAGTGGTAAAGAAGATTGCATGCACAATCATGAAAGAACAGGTTGGAACATGCTCAAACTACTTTCTATAGTGAAGAACCAACAAAATTCAGCCCTCACAGATTTAATTCTCTTCATTTCAACTACCTGAAAATGATCATGGGGCTGGAGAGATGACTCGGCCATTAAGAGCCCTTGGCTGCTCTTCCAGAAGAATTACCTTTGATCCCCAGCACTCTCGTGGCAGCTCACAACCAGCTGTAACTCCAGTTCCAGGGGATCTGATGCCCTCTTCTGGCCTCTATAAGCATTAGACAAGCACACGGTAGGTACTCTTACATTTAGGTAAAACAACCTCATGCATTTAAAAGAAGAGAAAGAGGAGAAGGAGGAGGAAAGAAAGCAATTGGAAGGAACTCCGACAAAAAATAACTTGTAATTCTGCTGAGGATATGAGTGAAGCTGATTTGCATTTCAAACTTGTGCACAGGGGATGGTGTTTTGGCTGGCCCATGAGCCCAGGGGGACCCAGCAGCTGACCAAAGCAAAGACACCTTGCTCTTTGCTCTACACATGTACCAGACTGCCACTGCAGACTTAGATAACTGACAGACTGGATGTGTCTGACCATCTCCAAACACAATTGCGCTCAGGACTCCGTGTTTCTAGCAATCTCCTGCCCTCTCCTGTTCTAGTTACATCTTCAGAATGTTCTCGTGTTCCATGGGAAGCCACGTGTCATAAATTGTGTTCCCCAAAATTCAAAATTGAAACCCTAACCTCAAAAAGTGAAGGTACCAAGAGAAAAGGCTTTTAAAAGAGATAACCCAGTTCAGATGAAGTCATTACAGCGATGAGCCTCCTCGTCCAATCTTCCTTGTGTCCTTGTAAGAGAAGACTAGGACATGCAAGAGACAGCAGTAATGCAGGATCACACCGGAAAGGCTGAGTGGGGACAAGCGAGAAAGTGGCCATCTGCGAGGCAAGGAAAGAGGCCTCAGGAGAAACCAAATCTGCCAACACCTTGATCTTGAACTGGAAGTCTTCAGAACTGTGAGAAAATAAATGTCTGTTGTTGTAGCGGCTCCATCTGTGATGGTTTATGGCAGCTGGAGAAAAGTAATACACCATCATACGGGTAAGGAAGAGAAGAAAGGCAAGAGCTCTGAATTAAGACCTCTGCTGCCCTCTCTAGAAAAGCTCAGTCCCTCATCTGTAAAATGGAGAGGCTCCTATCAGGGAGTCACTTAGCACAGTGTCTAGCACATGCTCGCTTGCAGTAGATAACAAAAGCCGACTTGTGTCTCTTTCTTCTTGTTACCAAACACCAAGTCCACCATGAGAGCCCACCATCTACCGGCTATCCCTCCAGCGTCATTAATCTCTCCCTCTTTATTAAGTCTATTAATTAATGTCATTCTCATTCATAGAAGCTCCTCTGACAGAGGAAAACAAACTAAGTACCTTCCCCTACTCCTTCTACTCCACTCCCTCCAGCTACTGGCTTCTGCCTTCAGAGCTTAAATTATTAAGAGTTGCAGATACAGTCTCCCGTGTGTGTGTGTGTGTGTGTGTGTGTGTGTGTGTGTGTGTGTGTGTGTGCGTGTGTGTGTTTCTGTCTGTCTGTCCACACAGTCTCTCTCTATTAACCCCAACCTGGCTCGCACCTTCACCTCCGCACTGAATCTGGCTTTCACCCATCTCATTACTGTCCCTTCAAGTTCTTCCAAGTAGTCAGTCCAGCATTCCCACATTTTTTTAAAACCCTCTTCTCTTGGTTTCCCTAACACCATATTCCCTCAGGCTTCTCTCTTTGAGAAGCAGCCTTCTTAGAGTGCTTTGCCACCTTCGGGCTACTAGAACGTTGGAATCGTTGAATCAGGGTTCACACTGACTCCCTTTGTCTCCATCAACATCTCTCCCTGGGCAATCCCATCTACCCAGATGGCTACCTGTACTACCCACCGGCCAGAAATTCTGAAATATACATCTCCATTGCAGAAACTTATGTCACTTGAGCAATAGACCTCCTCTCCATTTTTTCACCAAAGAATCTCAAATGGATCTCAGAGTAAACACATCCAACGCTAAATAACCCTCCCCCACCCACCCATCCCCAAATAAAACCTTGTACCATCTGTGCAATCTACCAAGTCCGCACAAAGGATGAGCAGCGCCCTCACACTGTCTCCTCTATCCTGATCCAGCACTTTCTCCTATAAACACAACCAACAAAAACCACATTCAAAGTATATTCTCTCTTCCCCCTAGATGGCATGACTTGCCGCCATCTCCAGAGGGACTCAAAAGGCTCCAAGATCCCCTTCCAGATTCTCTCTCACCCCACCCAGCCAGGAGCAGCCTAAGAGGCCTTTTAAG